TAAAACAGACGTTTAAAATCAATTAAATACTTAATTAAATGAAATATAAAGTATGTTTTACTATCCCAACCGCATATAAGACCTAGGCACAATGGGTTGAAGAATTTCTATTAAGTCACAAATTTGGTATTAAAAATTAATTCGACTCACTTTATTTTCATTAAATATTTTCAAAGTACAGAAAAGTATTTAATTACTATAGAAAGAGTTATACTGATTTGGAAGCACTATTTTAGTAATAGACCTATTCATCTAGGCAACATATCTTTCATTTCATAATATATTATGAGTTGTTTGGCACGGTTGATTATGCGAAGATTGTTCCTCTTATCAAATATCATTGTCAAAAGCAAATTCTCGAGATGGCCGAAGTAAGCATTCCGTTGTATTACAGCGTCAATGAATTGTATTTATGGTGGGACGTTGGGGCAGCGCACCGTCCAACAAGTGGCCCCACTGAAGTGAAGGATTAGCCGAAGTAGACCACGAAACTACTTGGGTCTTTTTTCGTCCTTCGATTCTCGGATGCCGTTATTGACTTAAAGCTTCCGTTCGCATAACTACATCTCTTGTTAATACAAGCAGCTTATTTAGCTTGAGGTTGCCTGCCAAGTCATTACCAACCCAATGGTGTCTCAAGACAGTCTTCCTCCTACTTGCCGGTGCTGGACATTGGCACAATATATCTCTTGATATGTCCAATAAGTACTACTGATCTTTGCAAAGTGCAAGGTATGGTTTAATTACAACAATACTCTCATCAAGATCAAACATGCTTGATTTTTTGCACAAATCAGATTACAAGTTTATTAAACTAGAACATCAGGGAGATCTTAACGTTATTCGTATGGGCAGCTGGGTGGTAAGATATGAAATGTAAAGAAATTAATAACACACCCTACTTGGGTTGTTGGTTGGGTAGGGTATGGATGAATCTCGAAGTGCAACCATCTACTCGTAGTGAGTTCTGAGTCATTTTGTATATAGAAAGCGGGCGAAATGTGCACAAATGAAATTAAGGAAATCAGACAATTTCGAATATAT